TGAATTACACGCGAATTTCGGTCAGTTCGGTATCAATGCCGTGTCGTTGTACCCGCAGAAAATGCTGATAGAATCCGGTCAGGTGGCGAAGAGTGGAGCCCTTGAGGTCGCTCGGTAATAACTTGAACCGGTATCTTGCGCTTGCTTCGCGGTTTCAATCGTTAATACTGTTTCAGAATCGTCGAGGGAATGATGAGGAGTCTGAACAATTTGCTCGAGCCCCTGCATCAGTCTTACGCGTTTTACGTGCTGCCATCGTCGCACACCTACGTATCGATCGGCTTATATATTCCAGTTGTAGTGCTGCTAATTGCCGCGCTGATGATCGAGGTATGCCACTCATTCCCCTTCCGTCCGTTCACACATCCATCAGTTCGTTCAATGACCACCGCTGCTCAGTCGGTGGAGTTTCAGACTCACCATCGAAGGATATTTGGTTCGAGTCGTGGTTGAGACGCTCACTTTTCGTGTTTCTAAGTTAGAAGAGATCAGCGAGTACTGCGTCATGGAAAGCAAATGGGAAACTACACAGTTTGGCTGTTACGACCTTAAAATGAAATGCAACCTCAGCTGATGACGCAGTAACGCAAGTTAGCGCCGTATCATATGTTACATGAAAGAAGAGTGCCACAGATAGCGTCCAGTAGTGGAACTGTAGCCGAAATCGACATCCCGACGGTTACCAACCGTCCTTTCCAGTCATTCATCCGTCTGTATCCCTGTCGGTCAAGTGTTACTCAACTGCAACCGTGTTTAGGCTAGTAACGCGTGGATTTTGATCTGCGATAACTTCGCCAACGACCGAGCGCAGATTTTGCACAGTCTGAAAACGGTAAGCCAGCAACGTGCTTGTTCTTCGGTTCATAGTAGCACAGAATTCCTTCGATTAAGGGGTCGCTGTTGTTCGCCGTCGCGCACCTCGTTGGACTTGCGTTCTATCAGCTGTTCATCGTAGTAGACAGACTTCGATGTGATTCGTTCGAGCGGCCTGTAATAGTTGTGACGGCGCTTACGTTCTGTGCCCTGTTCGCGCTAACATTCGCTCTGAGGTACGCGCGCGGCGGCACAACGACTGATCGGACACCCATTGGCTCCTTTACTGGTTTCCAGGAGTTACGTCGATGGCTGTCCCCAAGAAATACTTCGACTGGTCGCCTTGCTTGAGCTGTCTTTGGTGGCGTGCTCGTTATCGTTGATTAACTTCGGCCTCGGTTTGTTCATGTCCATTTTTTGGGCGTCTGTATTTCTGCTGGTGAAGTCTTGTCCATTCAGGTATTTACAGTCATTTGCGTAATTGTAATTACACTGACGCACTGTATTTAAACTTTTCTGAAAAAATTGTAGGTTATGGAAAGATATAAATTGCAAGAACTGAATAAAACGGATACCTCCTTTTACATGTAACCTCCGGACACGTCCATTACCTCCATGGTTCAAGAGGCCTAAGGGGTCATTTAGGCATGTCACGGTTCCATGACATCAGAGCATCTTCGTGGATGTCGATGTTCAACCGCGTCACTACGTTCTGTCCAACGGTGAGGGCTGAATCCGAACACTGCAGGAGTGAAGTGTCACGAAATCGTGACTTGTTTAAATAGCTATTTCTTATCTTTATTGCAGCACTGGTCATTCTTTAAAATTGCGACATTCGCTTCCCTCAGAGTTTCAGGTTTTTCTCATTAGAAGACAGGCCAGTAATCGTAAAAAAATAGGTGTTTACAAACGTTCTTAGGTTCTCTTGCCCAGTTCCACCTTTTAAAGCGCTGTTTTTAGCATTAAGCCTAACGAACTAGTACCGATGCGTATCATCCGTCGTTTAATGCTATTAACGGACGGCGAGGGCTGTTCGAAGCAGTCCATCCATTTTCACGCTCCATTATTCTCTTTGGATCGCGGGAATAGCAGCTAGAGAAAATCTGTTCAATTGCTCCGTTTATCTACCAACGCTGCAAGATCAACGGGCAGTTCCTTTTGAGCGGCTAGCGGTAGAACGGGTGTTAGCTCTGGACTGCAGCATACTAATCTTTCTTGTACATATGATATCGTTCAGTTTGAAACGTGTTTTAAGATTACCAGCGCTGAAGAGCGGCATATGTCTGTTCGCCCATCCTCTGCTACTTCTATTCTTCTATTGTTTTTCATGCGCTTACCGAAACGTTCCTAACCGTGGCCAGTTTGAAAATCTTGACGAAGCTGTACGTCTGTTCGAAAACGAAATTCGATCCCTGGTTTACGATCATCTCGTCCAAGACAGCTGGCTGTGGGCCATTGTTTCGCTAATTTTTATACCTGTTTGGACATGCCTATGGTTCATGGTACAGTTAGGAACTTAAATAAATAACTTTAAACAAAACTAGCGTGCGTACCAACTTTTCGATGTTTGCATTTCCCGACAAAACTTCAAATCTGTGATCGCTGTAAGAAGTCTTCCCATTCAGTAGTTATAAGCACGGAAAAGATTCGAACTCAAAGGTCGATGTTCGTCGACCACATCGTCCATCGTCAGGTCGTACAGTGAGCAAAAACGGAAACTCAGCGCTACATGCAAACAGTCTCAGTTTAGAAAATACCTGAACTAATACTGATATCGTTATATAAAAAGCTATAAACCTTGACTAAAAGATAGCACATCGACTAAAGCAAATGTATTATGCATGCATCGACCATGCAGTCGACATCTCAAACGAACTAATAAAATCGTTATGTATTGAGTTGTGTGGAGATGAGGTCTGCAGCGACTGTTTAATTAATGATTTGGTTCTCTTTCAATCTTGTTGGCCTTAAAACAATGTTTATAATCTAAAGATGGCCAGCAATACTCAAGTATTCAACGTGTTGATCACGATTTCCTTAGTGTTCCGTGAACTGCACTGGAGAGCTTTAAATGTTCCCTAACATAATTAGCATGACAGAATTCTAGTTAATCTG